GGTCAAACCTCCAGTTTGAGAACCCCTGGTCTACATGCTCCGTTGGTGGAAATCAGTCTAGGTTGATAGACTTCAATGGAGCTATGCTGATTTACACCGGCTGAAGATCTGACCCGCTATCGTTCCTTACAGCTCATGTTACAGAGAACCCTTGCGGAAGGTGCAAAGGTCAGGATTTCCGATTCCCCACTGAGGGTGTGGGCCCAGTGACACCCCTGTCTGGGCTAGGGAGGTACCGCTAAAGTACCTGAAAGTCAATGGAACTTGTGCTCCTAACTCACTTGGGTGCATTTGAAAATCGCACCTGTCATCTCTGTGGGGAACTTTTTCAGAAGTGCCTCAATTACCGAGGAGCCTAAGTCCCATTGGCTTTCAGTGTGTCACCGAGCACTTCTGAAATATTACTCACAGAGACTGCAGGTGGGATTTCCCAAAGTGCCTAAAGTGAGTTAGGCGCACAAGACCTCATTCAAACAGGCCTATGGTAGTGCAAACCAGCTACCTTTTCATTTGGTCCCGCAGCCTCCCCATGGGGTGGTTAGAGCTCCCTACTTTTGGGTGCACTATCATTCACCCACCCCCCACAGTCCACACTGCAGTGCAGGGTGGGCGATCCCTTAGGCCGGTGCCAGGGAATCTCCTGGAACTTCATGCTGCTGATTTGAGATTTTATTCTTCGTGTTTCCAGCCTGGCCTGATTCCCTCTTCCCCCTCCAGGGGAGTCGGCAAAACAATTTGGACAGCTCCTGGTTAAATAAAACCAAGGTTGTTCCAAGGTGATGAGCCAATCGGACAATTGCTTAGCGCTGCTTTGTACGTGGGAGATCACATGCTCCCTAGTACTGGATCAATCCCATTGGCTCACAGACGCCCCCTTCTCTCCGCATTCCTGCTATGTCAGTCACAGCAAGGCCAAGCTTATCTGGCTTTGTCTCAGATGCCAACACCTGTAATCCAAGGCCAGGGCTACCCTAGACATTTTTGCTGCCATAGCAGTGTGGGTTGGGGTGTATTTCACGCAGGGAACTGGTACAATCTATACTGACAACGGCGCTTTCTGGCCAGTGGATACTGCATCCCCACCAGGAGGGTTTGCCAGTCCAGCTGTACTGATCGAGCTGTGCTGGTACCCCGTCCAGTGCAGCCTCGGCCTCTCTTCTCACAGGAGACTCCCCCCAATTCACAGCAACAACGGGGAAGCTGATGACTGCATCCTGCGGTGTCCGGCCAGGCTGGGATTGCCAACAGGGACCAGGAGAGTTCATTGCTAAACCACATGTCCCCCTGGACGTTCGTCTAGCCGAGCTACTCTAGCTCAAGCACAGCGTAGGGGCTGCATGCGGGAACCCAGGGGTGGGTCTCTGGCCTGTGCTGTGTAGGGGCTCAGACTAGATCATCAGCGCGGTCCCTTCTGGCCCGACCCTCTGCGAACGCCTGACACACATATCAAGCAGGCTGCATCACAAACATGGTTTGTTCACTTCTTTTGACTAACGACAGACTGGGGCTCTGGTCCCAGCTCTGACACTAGCTTGCTTCGTGGCCATGGGCAAGCCTAGTCCAACCTCCCTGTCCCTCTGTTTCCGTATCCGTACCGTTGGGTGACGATACTGAAGCGTGCTTTGAGCTCTGTGGGTGGAGCGCGCTATAGAAGTGCAAAATAGAATTGGTTTTAATAGACTGTCCTTAGATCATTCATATAGTGCCTTCCACGCAGGGATCCCAAAGCACCTCACCAACAGGGGGCTCAGTCGCACAACCCCCTGGGAAGCAAGTCAGGAGCTCATTTTTCCTTATTTGTAATGGGGGAAATTGCAGCACAGACGGGTTAAACTGGTTTAGGGTGCTTGAATTTGTGAGACCCCCCGGGCCTGATCTCCGAGATGCAGACACCCCCAGGGTCCACTGACTTCATCTGGGATTTGGGGGTGCCCAGCACTTTGGGAAATCAGGCCCGAAGTGTTTCAAGTTTGACACGAAAACCAGCATCTAGCTTTGAAAATTTGGTGTGATGAGCCCAAGGTCGACAGAGCCAGAAACAGACTCCTGGGCTCCTGCCCCCATCCCCTGTGAATAACACCACACTGTGCTCTCCCTCCTGACAGTACCCTGGGGGTGGCAGCTTCAAAGTGCCAGAGTGATTTAGGAGCACAAGTCCCACTGACTCCTAAGTCATTCGGGAAAATCCAGCCCACTCTGGAAAAGCAAACAAACTGCAATGGCTTTTGGAGAAGTGACCCTGCTGAGGAGCGGGTGAAGGCCAGTGGCTGTTGGTGGGTGGGAGAGGCTGGATTATCAGGTTTGCATGTTAGCACAGTGAGCAATAAAGAGTCTGTTGATCTCAGAAACCTTGTCACATTTTCGGCCTCTTGTCGCCAGGGATCAGGACGGTTTCTAAACCTGCCTTGCTCTGTCGCTCTCAGCTGCTATGTGCCAAAGGAAGCAGCACCCAGACCAAACTGCACTGTGCAAACATTCCCTGCCCAGGAACAAGAGAAATTAAAGGCAGAAAGCCAGTGATAAAGCAGTGGTGATCCCCAGCGGCTTCCCTTCCAACACCGCTCTCCTGCCTGCCTGCACCTAGGCTCCTTTGTCTTAGCTAGACGGCAGGGAATTCACAGGCCACTGTGTGGATTCATCCCGCTTTGATAATCAGCTCTTTAAAAATAATCCACACTGCAGGACAAGTGCCGGTTAATGTCTCCCTGCCTGGTCACAGACCATCCATCATCCCGCAGGGCCGGGAAAGAGACTGATTTCCCTTGCTTCAAAAATGCAAACCTCATCAGGGATGGGGATCCTTCCCCCCGACAGGCAGTAGGAGGTTTTCCTGGACAAAAGCCGCTCCACAAGTGGGCTCCTGAAGAACCGCTCTTGCCTGCACAGCGGGATTGTCAGGCGGCGTCTACACTGCCGCTTTCAGTGCTAAAACGTCAGTCATTTAGGGGGTGTGAAAAAACACCCCATGAGCGACAAAAATTGTTAGCGCTGAAAAGCGCCAGTATATGGGGCTTTAGCTCCGGGAGCCGCGCTCCCGACGAGAAAGCGACCACCGCTCGTTCGGGGGGGTTATTTGTTATTGCCGGGAGAGCTCTCCCCTGGCGATAACACACGCTGCGCACATCGCTGTAACGTGGGTAGTTTAGACAGACCCTTAGCAACTAAAACCTAAAACCTTCTGCATTTCAAGAGCCACCTCATTTGTGAGGCCCTGGGTCAGAGTCTATTGGAACTTCCATCACACGCAAACAGACCAGACTCTGCATGGATTTCCCTCGCTGCTGTCAAAAGTTGCCCCAGGGCAGACAATGGACATTCCTGACCTCAGCTCTTTGGCCAAGTCACTGTTGAACCTTTCTGAGAAGGGAAAAATTAACCGGCTCCGCCTTTTATTTTAAAAAGTCAGTGAAGTAGAAGGTGACTTTATGCAGCGTTTGTCCCATACGCTGCATGCACTATGCTTTGCAGAGGTCAGAGCCAATCCTGCAGTTCCATCCCCGCAGGCCCATGCAGAGCCCCGCTACAGCTGATGGGCTCCTCCCAGGCACACGTGGCTCCGGCTGCAGGATTGGGGCCTGGGATAACGCCTTTCAAACAATAAATAGCAGCAGGTGAGAAGCCCTGAGATTGGCGCTGAGTTCCCAGCACTGTCACAGACGTTCATCATTCTGTGCCTCAGTTCTCCATCTGTAAGATGGGAACAATGATATGTCCCTCCCCCCACCATCTGACACGTGTGTGTGTGTGTGTGTGGGTGGGTGTGGGCGGGCGGGCTGTAACCCTGCCAGGCAGGGAGTGCCTCTCCCTGTGTGTGGGGCGCCCAGGCTAATGGGGCCCCGATCTCAGCTGGGGTGTGTAGACTCCTCTCTGATATTGCTCCAAAGTTCTGGATCTGAGGACTTTGGCCTATTCTTCACACACAGCTCCTCCCCCAGGGTCCCGATTCCAAACCCAGAACCGAAATTCCCTGAGCTCAAGAACCCTGGGCCAGACTCCAGGCTCAGTAACACTGATGTAAATCCAGAGTAACTCCACTGAAGCTGATGGCGTTACCCCAAATTTACGCCAATGTGGCCTCCTGGATCCAATGATCCCTGAACTCTGAGGAATGTGAAACCCAAGTCAGACTGGTGAGGGCCTGGCCCATCTCCATTGTAAGAATCCTTTGCAGGTTTCATGCAAGCAGAGGCAGGGACTGTCTTTGTGTTACTGGTTTGTAGGCTGCAGAGTTAGGGGCCCTGATTCCTATCGGGGGTTGGTAGTCCTGCTGCAAGAGAAATGATGGGCCCGCTCTTCAGCTGGTGTAAGCTGGAATAGCTCCACAAGGCAGCTGAGCTATGCTGATTTACACCAGCTGAGGACTGGCCCGAAGGATCCCCGGGACTTGCACACCTCACCCGCATAGCAGCCAACCCTTCCCTTCATTCCTGCTCTGAACTACGGGGCCTGGCTGGCAAACTCCTGCTCTTGTTCCTTCGGACAGCGCGAGCCAAGGAGGCGAAAGCTGCCGGCGCTGGGGATTGCCGGGGAGCCGGTCACCCCATGCCAGCGATGGCTCCCTGTCTTAGCTCCCAGGCTGCCTCTGCCCGGCTTTCCTCCTCCAAGCAGCAAACCTCACCCTTCCTTTGGCCAGATCTCAGCGGTGTAAATCCAGACCCAGGCAGCGCTAACCTACACCAGCCCCGGAGCGGGCCCAGTCTCTGTGTCTGATCCCTGCACCCTGGAGCCAGGTCCAGAGGTTGCAAACCCACATCTCACAAGGACCCCAGCGCCCTTCAGTCTCCGGGCTCCAGCTGGTCTGAACTCGGCAGGGGGACGCAACAACGGGGCTCAAAGGGGCCCTGGCTGCCTGCTCCTTCCTTCCCCGCGGGGAGCAAGTTCCAACAGCAACAAGTGTCATGAGAGGGGAGCAGCGCGCACGACCCTGGGGGCATCGCGAGGCGCTTCCAGCCGCAGATCCGAGCTCCCCTTCACAGGGAGCCGGGGCCGGGTTCACTTACCCGGGGCCGGCTTCTCCCCCTGCGCAGCCCGGCCGCTCCCCAGCGGCTGGTTTCACGCCGGCACAGCCCAGCGGCGTCCCAGCGGCTGGAGCTCCGGGGGCCTCTGTCCCTGGGGCAGACCAAGCCCCGCGGGGAACGGGGGCGGGCGCTAACGCGCTTTACAAGGCCGCGGGCCCCGGGGCGCAGCAGACACGGCGAGGGCAGGGTGCCGCGCCGCGGAGCTTGTGTTCGCTTCGCCCGCTGCGTTGTGCGCTGGCCATGGAGGCCACTAGCCACCCCCCGCCCCCACGTGCTGCCCCTTTTCCGGCGCCCCGGGCTTGGCCGGGCAGCCACTGAGGCACAGGGCTCCTCCCAGCAGCCCGGTCCGCCCCCGCGGCGGCTGTTCTCCTGGAGACCCGGGCGGGGGGAGGAATCTCCAAACCCGCCCCCGAGGGAAGTGTGGATTAGCAGCGACCCGCCGGCTGGGCAGATGCACAACGGCAAACTAAGGGGTTGTCTGGAAAGCCAGCTCGCCTGGGTCCTTCTCAGGGGCCGAGCAAATGAACTACCCGGGGATCCGGCTGAGACCGGAACGCCAGGACTGTGTTCAGCGCCTGTGGGTTCATTCTGCACGCTCCGGATTGCTTCGGGGACCTAGGGCCCATCCGCATGAGGGCACGACTGCTGATATGATATGAACAGGACAACGCTTTGGCCAGGGCCAACACAGAAATGCACCATCCAGCTCCTGGGATCGTGGGCTCAGTCGCGCATTGTGTTACGGGCTCAGACCCGTTTGGTCCTAGCACCACTCACAGCTGAACCCGTTTCACTCCGGCAAGGACCCGTCGAGGACACCTGGAGTCAGCAGTGAGGGTACATGGGGCCCTGCAGTCTAGATACCAGACCCTGGTAGGCCAGATCCTTAGCTGATGTAAATCAGTGTAGCTCCATGCCTGATCTGGCCCTCTGACCCCCACCTCACTTGGAGGAGGAGTAGTGAACAGTTTGCTGGGAAATGGGTTTGGATGCGGAACACCTTCACGCCAAACCATCTCAACGCTCCATAACATCTGGGCAGAACCTTGCTGGTTCCTATTCCGAGGCCTGCCAAACCCTCCCAGCCTTCTGTGAGGTCAGCGAGGTCACTGCCCCATTGTACAGACTGGGAAACAGAGGTGCAGCAGTGACCATACCTGGATTCACTGACCAAGCCAGGAAACCCGATACTCCTGGGGGAATTCTGCACCACTGCGCATGCGCAGAATTTATGTCCCCTGCAGATTTCTTTGCTGCCCTGCAGAAAAACGACTTTCTGATTTCCCACCTCTGTGCAGCCAGTGCCTTGTGCTCCCCAATGCCATGCTGGAGCCTCCACATTTGTTTGACAAATAAAATTTGCAGAATTTTGCAATACTGCGTGCAGAATTTTTAATTTTTTGGCACAGAAGTAACTCGAGTCCCACAACACTTAGGATTGTTAGCTGTGATTCTTTTTCACTCTGCCCCACTCCCCTCTCACACCTGCATTTTTTTGCTGCGTTTCACTCTGTTTCGCTTCCTCTTTCTTTCCCACAGCTTCCCAGAGCCTGGGCTCCAGTCCAAGACTGAATGACCACACTTCAATTTTATAGCTCTGCAAGCCCGAGGCAGCTGATACAGGCCAGTTGCAGGTGTTTTATTGCGGTGTAGACGCACCCCAATAGACTTGACCCAGGTCACATTAGGAGTCTATAGCAGAGCTGGGACTTGATCCCTGATCTCCCAAGTCCTAAATTAGTGCCCTAACCACTGGGCCTTCCTTCCTCTCTACACAAACAGACACCATGACTGGACCTGCCTTTGAGAAAAGTACTGGATAACCGAAGGTAGTTAAAAGTCCTCACTCACAGTCCTGGCTCTGCTCTTCAGTTGTAGAGGTAAAGTACAGTGAAACCAGTGGGGTTCTGCTTGTATTGTCTTGACAGATGAGTGAATTTCAGCTGAAATGCAGCCTTCTCTGGGGTAGGACAATGCAGCTGTTCAATGTGCACAGCAGTTTGCAAGAGAAAGTGAGTAAGAATACCATAGCTGATTGAAACTGCGGCGGGGATTTTATATGCCTTGGTAGCAAATAAAGTAAAATATGACAGGGGATAGCACTACTCCTTTGACAAAACTGTTGTCCAGTAGAAGCGGAGAGGTTATATGGAGACAAGTAGCTAAACAGTGCATATACAACAGGTTTCTGTGCTCATCAGAAGATGATCATTATATCTCAGTATTTCTGCGGCCTGCTGGCCAGGATTCCGATGTGCAGTTATGCTGCCTTTTGGTAGCCTGGCTGTGACTCTCCACTGCCTCCTGCTGAGATGACACTGTTCAGCACCCCGGAAATCCCAAAAGGATCAAAGTCTTCCCTTGGGTCAGAACAGGGTGATGTCATAACCATTCAGCTAAAGGTAGCCTAGAATTCCTCCTTACCTGTAAGGGGTTAAGAAGCTCAGATAACCTGGTTGGCATCTGACCAAAAGGACCAATGGGGAAAGAAGATATTTTCAAATCTGGGGGGGAGAGAGGGGGGAGAGGCTTTGTTTGTGCTTTTGTTTGTGTGTTCTCTGGGGAAGCAGAGAAGCATCAGGTCAGAAAACTCCTCCTATAAACCATCGTAAAGTGAGTCTCAATATTGCAAAAAGAGTAAGTAAATAAGGCAGGGCGCGTTAGATTACCTTTTGTTTTTAACTTGTGAATTTTCCCTGTGCTAAGAGGGAGGTTTTTCCCTGTTTTTTGTAACTTTAAAGTTTTGCCTAGAGGGGAATCCTCTGTGTTTTGAATCTGATTACCCTGTAAAGTTAAAAAAGAAAAGGAGTACTTGTGGCACCTTAGAGACTAACCAATTTATTTGAGCATGAGCTTTCGTGAGCCACAGCTCACTTCACGAAAGCTCATGCTCAAATAAATTGGTTAGTCTCTAAGGTGCCACAAGTACTCCTTTTCTTTTTGCGAATACAGACTAACACGGCTGTTCCTCTGAAACCTGTAAAGTTACTTTCCATCCTGATTTTACAGAGGTGCTTCTTTTACTTTTTTTTTCTTTAAAATAATGTTCTGTTTTTTAAGAATCTGGTTTACATATTTGGTTGGTATATTATTCTGAATCCTTCCCAGGAAGGGGGTGTAGGGCTTGGGGGAATATTTGGGGAGAATAGGAATTCCAAGTGGTCCTTTCCCTGATTCTTTGTCTAAATCACTTGGTGGTGGCAGCATACCGTCCAAAGACAAAGGATTTGTGCCTTGGGGAAGTTTTTAACCTAAGCTGGTAGAAATAAGCTTAGGGGGCTTTCATGCATTTCCCTGCATCTGTACCCTAAAGTTCAGAGTGGGGAGGGAACCCTGACAGGTGACCAGAGACCAAGTGTGAAAAATCAAGACACTTTTTTTTTTCGGGGAGAGGTTATAGTTTCCTATATAAGACAAAGCCCCTAATATTGGGATGGTCCTGGTTATTTCGGGACATCTGGTCAGCCTGGGCAGGAGTCTGGAGGAAAAGGGCGTCCCGGCTGTGACACATCTCTCTCCGCCACACCCCAAACCAGAGGTAAAACCAAACCCTTTGTCTTTGCCTTCTGGCTTCAGATTAGGTCTGGTGGTGCTGTCAGCCAGTCCTTATCTCCGCCCTGGAGCTCAGGCAAGCTGGGAAATGGAGTCCTGAGCCTTTGCCACTCTGCTGCTGCAGGCCAGGGGCAAGTCCCCGATGTGCTCGGTGTGGTATGTCAGGAGCACCCCTCAGAAGGGATTACACTGACTCAGCCGCTCAGGGTCTAGTGATGTAATTTCCAGCTGTGTGAACATACCTGCGCTAGCTCTGACCAAACTACTGTGCTAAAAATAGCCCTGGAGCTGTGGCAGCACAAGCAGCAGGCCGGGCGAGCAGACGTGCCTAGGGTCTCACTCTGGCTCACTCCTGGGGAGACTAACCCATCCTGCTGGTCGCACCACCACAGCCGCACTTCTATTCCAGTGTGCTATCTCCTTCAGAGCGAGGGCAGGTGTGTCAGGAAGTTACCCCTCCAGCTCACATGCAGACATATCTTCAGGCAGATCAAGGACGTTCCTGAGAAGTGGTACGAACCATTTTGTAGTGATGATAAAATAGTCCCTGCAACTCAGCTCTCAGCTGTGGTCCTTGGACGTTTCTCATACATCATGCCCACTGCAGCCTGGCCACCTTGCCATACTGAATCAGGTCCCACCAGGTCCACTGTTCTGCCTTCAGCTGTGGCCTGCACAGGAAGCTCATAGCAGGCAAAAAAAATCTCCCATCACGTGCCTGATCAACAGCTATATTGAGTGTAGAGGGATATGGTCCTTCCTGCCCATGTGCCATCAGCTACTGCCATGAACCATGACGTCTTCCAAGGTATCGCTAAATACTGTGGTTCGGCACCGTACTTTACAGCCACAGCATGTGACTCTAATTCCCTGTGGCAGGGAGTTTCTCAGATTATCTGCAACACACTATTAAGAAGTAGCCTTTTATTAGTTCTAAATTTCCCAGCCATTAATTTCATCACATGACCCCAATTTGTTCTCACGTTATGTATAGAGCAGAAGACAAGGGAGCAATTTGCCTTGACTCCATGTTCTTTGTCAATCTAACAAAACTAAGCCCAGAGCTCTGGGTTCCCGCTGTGCAACCAGGGCCTGATGTAAGGAGCATAGCCAGCATTAGGGGCTGGTTCTGCCAGTGGGATGAGGTAATTGGTTTGGAACAGGTTTTAAATGATTTTCCACTCAGCTACTTACCATTGGTATTTAAAGGCAGCCTCCAGCCTCCATGAATAGCCATGTAGCAGTGGGGTGAGAAGGGCTGTGTATTAAGGCTTGTGGAAGTAGCTGGTAACCGTGGCGAAATGGCAGGCATTATGAAACCAGCTCCCTGCTGTATCATCTCTCTGGTGCCCCAAAGATTCAGTACTGCCAAGTGCTGAGCTCCCTCCGGTTCCATTGACCTCAGGGCATTGGGCTCTTTATGCCCACCCAGTGCGTTTGCCCCTCGCTGACCCACCCCCAGCGCGGCAGGGCTGTGTAATGTAAAAAGGATCATTAAAAAATATTACCCAGCTCATGTGAAAAATACTAGGAGACTCATAAGAGCCTATAAATTGTCCTTGAGTGTGGAGACCCAGGGCTCTAATCTAGTGCCTGAGGCGATGGGGGGATCTGTAGGGCAATGGGCAGGGACCGAGATCTGAGCAGGGTTACAAGGCCAGAGTCTTTCGGTGGCTTTACTACAACACCCTGAAAACCTCACTGCCAAACCCTCTCACCATGTCACTTGCAAACCAGCCTCAGCAAACGCTTGCAGGCAGTGACTTTTGGTTAAAGCCAGGGCCCAGCGTTCCAGTCTGGGATTTGCTTGGCGCTGTGCATGGACAGCTGAGAGCGTTCACATGAGCAAGAGGATGCTGTGGGCATCCAGTGCACCCTGAGTAACCCCCAGAGATCTATCCCTGCAGGGAGTGTGACTGTTAGTGTCACCCCACACGCCGCCATTCGGTGCCTGCTCCATCCCCCTCTAGTGGCAGCTGGGTCCCCTGGCGAGGCAGAGGAGCCGGCCACCACCCTGGCTAGAAGAGCTGGGTCTTTAACACAGGCAGCATTGGCTCTGATCCCGAAGTCGTAGGTTTGCTCCCCACCCAGGGCACCGTGTGACATTAGCTGCACCCACACCCCCAGTTGGCTGCCAAGCTCACTGGGAGCCTGGCCTGATGCTCCAGGGTGGACCAAAAATCCTTCCTGGTGGGTGAATCACAGTGGGCTTTGGTCCCGTTCACAGCCCATGAAAGAGCGGGGCAGACAGAGGGAGTAGGACCCGGTGAATGGAAAATGGGAGCTGAGCTGGAAATGGAGGTCTGGGGTCCAGAGGAGGAAGGCATCTGAGATCTGAAAGAGGGCCCTGATGATTTGGTTCACCCAGGGGACCCTGAGGCCTGGCCAGTGGCAAAAGGGAGACTGAGGTGTGGCCCGGCTGGGGGGGAAGAGACGAGGCTGGAGGCCTGGCTGCGCAGGGGCTGACGTGCGGGGCGGGGGGCTGGTATGGGGGGGAAGAGACGTGGCTGGAGGCCTGGCTGCGCAGAGGCTGACTTGCGGGGCGGGGGGCTGGTTTTGGGCGGAAGAGACGAGGCTGGAGGCCTGACTGCGCAGGGGCTGATGTGTGGGGAGCTGTTTTGGGGGGGAAGAGACGAGGCTGGAGGCCTGGCTGGGCAGGGGCTGACGTGCGGGGCGGGGGGCTGGTTTTGGAGGGAAGAGACGAGGCTGGAGGCCTGACTGCGCAGGGGCTGATGTGTGGGGCGGGGGCTGGTATGGGGGGGGAAGAGACAAGG